TGCTTTTACAAAAATGCTCGGATCCTGAAAGGAGAACATCTTGGATTTCTGGACAAAAGAGCCCAGGGTATATTTATGTTTGACCTCCTACCACATTCTGACTTTCTACTCTAATGAATCCGAGTTTATTCTTCACTGAAATGGCTCAGCTCCAGGAGCCCTTGGTGTGATTCTAACACTGTGTAGATATTGATTTTTCTTGCAGGCTAGTGGTTACTGTAACCACCACACTATTAAATCTCTCTCCTTTTCGTAAGGATGATTCCACTAGTGCCGCTTCACTCCCTTCCGTTGATATTTAACTCAATCCAGGGCTAATTTGAAGGTAGCATTACTAGGATCACAATGTCTTAAAATGCTTCCTGGCTGACAGCTTTCTCCCTTTTGTCATCTTAGAGCTATCAAACACTGCAGCACACAGAGGTGGCCAAAGGTGGGACCAGGCCTCTTATTGCCACTTTCTCCTTCACTTCCTCTCTGGAAGTTTAGGTTTTCATACTGTGAATAATGTCAATCGTTATTCAAACAGAATAGGCTTCTTTCCTTATTTTGTTTGTTCAGGTCTGTAGAAGATCTCTTTTACCTCATGGCAATAATAACAGACTGCTGTTGTTAAGACAGGAGCACAGATGTTACCTTCAATATACACAGCTTTGGTGAGCTGCAACACTAAAATACTATTTTGACTCTTGGCCTCTCATTTTAGAAGTTTGCCCCTCAGTGAGCTTTCCTGTTAGCTAAGGGGAGGCACAGCATGTCACACAGGTAATGACAGCCCTTAACTTCCAAATAAAATTTAATAGGGGCTTTCATTCACAACGATTCTTAGGCATTTGTCTTGTTACACTAGTTAAAATATACACTGCAACATGAGTGGTGACTCTGATGTCAGTAAAGAATTCTATATCCAGAACCATAATACTTTGTTGACTTCCTTCAGGAGATGCCATGGAGACCCCAGAGTAGAGGGTGTAATTTAATGAGATTGTTAATATTTCTATAATACCAGCAATCTGATAAATTCTCTTTCGGTAGGCACTTCTACAGAACTGGCATAAATGACTGTTCCACATGAAGCATTATCTTTTCTTGTACAACACTGAAAGCTTACATGCTGCTTGACAAATTTGAATTTTAAAAAGCAGGAATGATTGGCACTTGGTAACTTACACAGAAATATAAAGTGGTACGAGAAAATTGCCCATTTCTTTTAGATTTACATTTTATGTTTTTTTTTTCTTTTAAGAAGTGATAAGACATGTAATTTCCATCAACTTCAACCAGTTATGTATGAAAGAGGCTACAAGTTCAGCTCTGCAGAGGAGAAGCAAGTCATGAAGAGAACTGACATACTCCAAACAGGCAGACAGTCTCCACAGCTGCCTTGAGTTTGGGTGCTGTAAATGGTTAGTTTCTGGCCAAGATTGGACTCTAAAGAGTTAGACTCTTTCCTCCTGAAAACAGGAGGAAAGAATCTGTTTCCCCTTGGTTTCCTGACCCACCAATCCAAATGTCTCACCTATCAAATTTTTCTCCATGTCGTTAAACTCAAAGAGAAAAAGAAGATAAATGCTGCACAGGAGCACAGAACAAGAGTTAATGAAGATGTCTCTGTATTTGCGGATGCTCCAAAGAATTCAGCATAAAGCAATTATTTTTTATTTATTTAGTCAACAAATATTTACTCATAGATATCAAAGTATCTAGCAAAGAATCATAATGCCCAGTTAATTATTTCTTCTTTGACCTTCATTATAATTTTGAAGATATGGAATAATAAAGATAATTGGCAGCATCAATTTACAACAAAAACTCTAATTTAGGAATCTTGATTTTTTCTGTCCTCTATATTTAGGAATCTGGATTTTTTTTTTTTATCCTGTCATGGCAAATTTCCGTCTGTATGCCTTTCAAGAATGCAAACAAATGATCTCATGCTCTTACATATAAAAATGTATATGTTGCTGAGCTTGGTAGCGCACAATTGTAACACCAACACTTGGGAGAAAGAGGCAGGAGGATCACCATGAGTTTGAGACCAGCCTGGGCTACAAAGTGAGTTCTAGGCCAGATTGAACTTCATAACAAGACCCTGTCTCAAAAGATAAATAAATAAATAAATAAATAAATAAATAAGTAAAAATATATGTTAAGACCACATATTGAATTTTTTCTTAGCATTTTCATGAACTTCTAAAAAATTAAAAAAAATTTTTTTTTAGTTTTAGCAGATAATAAAATCTGTCCTTATTAAGGTTTAAACAATTTTCTCCAGTGGTAATGTAGCATTGAAACATAACAATTATTCCTTTGAAAACAGTAGGAGTGGTATTTTCCTTCTACATACAACTATTGAGCTATAATAATAAGGTTTTCATGAGAAAATTGATGCTGGTTCTCATGAGAAATTCAAATTAGAGATATTTCAACATTAACTGTCAACTGGGACAACAATGTTCATTTAACCTGCTTTTATTCGGCAAGGGTAAGAACTGTGTATCTTGTTTACTGTGGTATTTGCAGCACTCACACACAACAGAGAATAAAAACAATGACTGAATGAAGGTTGAGTTTACAGACTCTAAATATGTAAATAGTTTCTGAAGGTAATGTAGGTATTAGGAACAAAGGAGTTAGGATTCAAAATTTAGTTCGACACCAAGCCTTGTCTTATTTTCCCCACAACAAACCTGATGCAGATTGGCTCTTACCCGACTCGCTGCCTGTTTCTCCAGTAATGTCACATCTTTTTCTAGGCATATAGAGGAGGTAGGAGTTGTAGATGGTATCTTAGCAGGGCAGATATCCAATGATACCTCAACGTCCCTTCCAAGATCATCCAAGAAGAATTTTACTTTTAGTTCTATCTTTTAAAAACTGAGTTCTACACTTCCAAGACACCAAACTATATTCTCAATTATGCAATAGATGAAACATAAAGAAATGTAGTCCTGTTAATAGAAGAGCAAAGCCAAAACCTATAATAATAGTCCTTAAGAACATGGTGTTCGACCTATGTGAAATACCCTCCCCTTCTTAGATATGGCTGAAAGCATAGCAAATCTCTGAGCCTGTGGTAGGCCAAGAAAGAGCCTCAATTATACTCCGAAATAAAAGGTATTAGCAAGACAGATTTAACACCTACAGTCACACTCAGAATTACAAACTGTTAATGAATAAGATATACCAAGTGTTATGGTTTGTGTCTTGATATCTACACAAAAGCCTCATGTAGCCTTGGGTGCAGGTTTCTAGAGTTACTGATCCAGGTTCCAGAGCTGGGATTATGGATTAAGTGTAGGCTAAATATAGAGTAAGAGAAAGAGGATTGCTCTCTTCGCTCTTTTCTTTTTACTCTTGTTGCTTTTGCTGTTTTCTGCTGCCAAAAACGAGTGCCCTCTGCCACATGCTGTCCTGTGCTGGAGAGGACTGAAACCTCCACAAACTGTAAGCTAAACAAAGCCTTTTTTTCCTTCATTCTAGGCATCAGGTGTTTTGTCTCATCAATGAGAAGAAACTGACCAAGACACTAAGAAATGTGTTTTTCCCCCTTAGCGCTGATTTCACTGATGCTGAATATTTGAAATCTCAAGTTGTGAAACCATGAATCAGGAAGGTTTCCTGTATTGTGAATAATGCCATCTTAAAGATGAGGCACTTGCCAGTGAAATGCAGCAACATTCATGGTAATGTGTTTGAAGCAAGCACGATCCTGAATTTATTGCAGGGGGAGTGTGTGAGTTGACCAAAATGGAGAATGATGAGAAGTAACTAAATTATGTATGACAGACTTTACAGAGCAGAGGAAGGAAGAAAGCTTAATGACGCTGTGGTCGAAAGATCAGCAGCAATTGGTGATGTATTGGTTTGTAGGCTGGTAAGAAGAGAAATGAATCTATGAAGACCCAAAGACTATAGATGAGAGTGACAAAAACCAGAGGGGTGGTGGTGGCAGAAGCACAAAATATAATGCATTTTAATGGCAACACAACAGTCAAATCAAGTCAATCTGACATTGAAAATCATCATCTTAATCTATGTAGCTCTTTCAAGCCAGAATTTTATCATAGGAAAAAAAAAAAACAGATCTATAGTTAACAATGAAATACTTTCCCCTTTTGCTTTCCCGGCATCTACTGAGTAGTACATAATTTAATTATTGAATCTGCAGGCTGGACCATGGAAATGAAGAATGATGTGTCTGTTGTAGTGAGAAATGAGATAGAACCAACTGTTTATTCTCATCATTCTTCCTCCGTTGGGCTAAATTAAGACAGTTAACAAGCTTTTGTTTGGATTAGCAGTTCAGATCTGGGATGTGCTGATCAGAATTCATGATTATTACAGTAGCTGTTATTTGTGGAGTGCTGCCAGTAGCATCAGCCATATGTGTAATACAGGATGGGGTTCTTTTGTCTTTCTTTGTGCTGGAACCAATGTTCCATCAGACTTGGGGACCAAATGTTTGAATACAGTAAGTGAACTTCAAGAAAAACCAGATTTAGCACCTTGAGGCATATCCCCTCAGCCAGGTCACTAATGATCTTTCCTACTTGCCTTATTTTCCTGATTAAAAAAAAATGTAAGAAAACCCTTACAATTTGGGGGGAGGAACTTTGTAACGGGACTATGCAGTGGAATGTGTGTGTGAGGCGACAAGAGGTGGCAAGCTTTAGCAAACACCTCAGGCCCTTCCGCACAATTTGAATAGACTCAACCCAGTCAAGCAAAACGCAAATGCAAATGCAGCTTCGAGGTACTTGTGCCTCCAGGAATGGTGCTTCCAAAACAATTCTCTAGAGGACCTGAGAGGCCGCTACCGCCCGTTGCCACACAGCGGGCTCACTCCGGGGCCGAAAGCAGGTCCCTTTCCTTTCAGCCCGGGTCACTTTCACGGCGCTGGATTGTCTGAGTCGTCTTTTAGTCACACATAATATTACATTTATAGTAAAGAAGTTAATGGTAGATGGGGCTGTGTATGTGTAAGAAGTCACCCTTACCACCAAAAACGATGCAGTCCCCGGCCGGGGGTGAGGACACAGCCGGGAGGGGGAGGGGATCGCGGGACGGGTCCCGGCCTCGTAGCGACCTCTTAGTGCGCACCCCGTCAGGTCAGCAGCGCAGAAAGGCAACCGCAGACTCCACTCCGTGAGCCACAAAAGGGGACGGTCACCCCGAGAGCAGTAGGCACCCTGGCGCTAAAACGCGCCCCGCCAACGACCGCAGCGCTGGGGAGCCGGCAGACTGGTCCCGTTCGCGGGGGCGAGCCATCGCCCCTGCTCCGAGCGCGCCCCCCGCCCCAAGCGCGCGCCCGCCGGCCCCGCCGCTTCCCGCCACGCGGCGCCCCGCCCCCTTCTCCCGACGTCCTTTGCCCGGACGCGTGGCGGCGGCGGCGGCAGTGGCGGCGGCCTTGGGGTCCGGCCTCGGTCTGCGGGCCTACGGACGCGGCACCGGAGGATGGGCGGGGGCGAACAGAGCGGGTACGCGGTCGGCGCGCCACGTGGCGCCGACTGGATGCGGGGTGCTGGCTCCCGGGGGTCTCGGGCGTGGCGAGCACCTCCCACCTCCGCGTTAAACCTGCCGCACGCTGGCGGCGGCGGCGGCGGCGGCGGCGGCGAGGACCCGGCTTCCCCGTGGCCGCGCTCAGGTGGCTTCCGTGGCGCGCGCCGCGGCCTCTGGCGGGCGTGCTCCTTGACTGTGGAGGGTCGCGTTTCCGGAAATCTGAAAATAACACTCTGTCTGGTACCCACGCGTTGGGTGGGAGGAGCGTGGGTTCCGTGGGTTCCGCGCCGTATCTTACTGCGCTAGTTGTATCTGAGCCTCAGTTCCCACCTACAACCTCACCGGGCTCTGGTGAGCGTTCAGCCTCGGCCAGGTCGAGCGCCTGGTGGAAAACTTCATTCTCTGCCTGTCCTCCTCTCGTTCCCGTTTCACCCTCCCGTTAGTCTGTAGTACTTACCTGGCATCCCCACCCTTCACCTCATTAATGGGAGCCTTTAAACCTGGTGAGAAACCAGTCCCTATCAGTGTCTTACCTCTTCCTACACATGATCTTAACCAAAACTTCTCAACATTTGGAACACGGAATCAGTTGGTGACCACAGTTCCTAGTTCCAGCCTGTTCTCTGCATTCTAGTTTTGGACACTTAAGAACTGCACAGTAGTATGAGGTTAGAGTCTAGACTGTGAATGTTTGGGGATTCTTACCTTGCTTTAAACCAAACATTTAGGCTTTCTCAGTGATCTGATAAATTGAGTGATCTTGTATTGGCCTCCCACCTTACCCTGGTTTTATTCCTTTTGAAAGGATCCTCTAACTAGAATAATCGCTTCCCTTCAGGGCTCTCCCTGTTGTAGAGACCGCCTGTGTCTGTCAGAGTAAAACCTGATTTAACAGAAACCCGGCTTGGCTTCACTACCAGGGCTTGTCATTGTTTCTCCTTGGATTCTGACTACAGTATCGGCCCTTCTGTCCTATCTGGGGAATCTTAGGGGGGAAGAAGGAACAAATTATCTGATTACTGTCAAAACTGGGACAACTTCATATATTACCTTTGGAGTCCAGTGGGCATAGATAATACTTTACTGTGTAAGTTAGGGCAAAGTCCGTTTCCTAAGTTTTTTGAGTTGAAAGCAGGATGTTACTGCCTCTCTTAGAATGAGGTTTGAAGGAGATAATGTGTAAAAAGTAAAACAGTGTCTCCAGTCTCTTGAAGATCAGTAAATGTTTTTCTTTGGTTCTCCTCTTTGCTGACTTATTTTTTAGGGATGAAGGACAGAAAAATTTGTAGTCTCAAAGAAAACATCCTATTAGCAGTAAATAGATGAAATATTTGAGAATGTGAAGCTATAGGTGCCAAATCTGAACTTCTGAAATAATAAATATCTTTTTTCTTAAGAGTAGATTCTATGTATAAGTTTTGTGATTTCTGATTGATAAATGTAGCTGATGACTAGAGATCAGAGTTGAATCTAGAGGACTGAACTAGAAAGCAAATTTATCAAAATAATTTTTTCAACATTTTGCATGTTTTTCTTCTAGACCCAAGATGAGTGAAGTTTCCTGCAGGAAGCGGGATGACTATCTGGAATGGCCTGAGTATTTCATGGCAGTGGCCTTTTTATCAGCACAGAGAAGCAAAGATCCAAATTCCCAGGTAAATGGGTTTCATAGCAGAATGGATTCTTGGAAAGAGATACCCATGAATTAAGCAAATTATGAAAAGGGAACAGCTTTCAACTTAAAAATTCAGTGTATTTGCTGCCTTGAGTGCTGTATTCCTGCGTGCTTACCTGTTCCTTACGAGACTTTGGTTCCTTTCAGTGCTCCCCAGTAGTAGGCCAGTCATTTGTAGTTATCACCAAACCTTTGGTCCCATTTCCTTGTAGGTTGGAGCCTGTATTGTGAATGCAGAAAACAAGATTGTTGGAATTGGGTACAATGGAATGCCGAATGGGTGCAGTGATGACCTGCTGCCCTGGAGGAGAACAGCAGAGAATAAACTGGATACCAAATACCCCTATGGTAAGGCATGTTTTTATTCCATCCTGCTTAGTTATGTGTCTGGGGGTTGGTGCTTCATTTACAAAGCAGGTTGGAAGGTATTGTCTTTCTTTTCAGTCATCAGTTGTCCCATTGAACTACCTACTTCTGCTATCCCTGTCTCTTAAGTTCCAAAGGAGCATTTGGTGGGAGTGTGGTGGTGGTCACACAGCTGGGCCCTGATGTCCTGGGCTCTGATGCCTGTGGTGGGCCTGGTGTGCTTCCCTGGCAGCCCGCTGGCCTGTGTAACACCAGACCATCAATGCAGGCTGCAGCCCTTTGCAGAGAGAGCTGAAAGTGGTGCGTGGTGACTCTGTAGGTAGGTTCTTTACTCCTGGGAAGCTGGCTCAGCTCATTTAAGTGCTGCCAGGACTTTGCTCTGATGAGAGGCAGGCTTTATTCAGCCTCGTGCTTGATGAGCTAGATCTCTGGTTCAGGTTTATGTCTGGGAAGCAGGAATCAAACTGCAAGCATCCATCAGGAGATGGATGATGCAGTAATTTCTTCTGTTAGGCTACTTGTGGTGGCCTCTGCAATCCCATTGTAGTCTGGGATCAGACCAAAAACCAGAAGATGGAAAGGAAAACCTCTGGCTTAGTTCTCTGAGTTTTCACCTTGAAATTAGGAAAGAATAGTTTTTAGAATTTGTGCTTGAGCCCAAGGAAAAATATCTTCAGAGATTATCCAAGAGAGATAAATCTTTTCCTTTTATTCTCTAAAGAACACACGATTAATGCTATGAAAGGGACAAATTGTATTGCATACGTTAGTTGGTAATTTTTCATGATGTTGGGCCCTGTCTGAGAATGAACTATGTCTGAGAATGAACAGACTGCCTCTGTTGGAGGTAAAGTAGATGAAGGCCATTCAAATGAGAAAGATTATGCCTTCAGGAAACCAACTTCAAGGCATAATGTAAGACCTTTCTTCTTTGTTGACTCTTCCCTGGTATGTTTTTTCCTCTGGGTTTTTCTCCTGAAGAATTCCAAGCCTACATTTAGTCTAATTTATGCATTTTTGCTAATGTTCTTGAGCCTTAATCATATTAAATAAGCCCCATAAATTTATTTTTAAACTACTTATGGGCAAATCCTCCATATTGAGAGTAAAGGGAGAAAGTGCCTTGAAATAGAGAAAGAATTGAACAATGAGAGTAGGGACAATTACAGAGCACTCAGGGTGTTCACCATACAAAAGATAGTTTGACAATTAAGGGATTTAATAATTGGATAGTCAATTTAACCTCACTGTGGTAAGAAAAGGAAAAGCAGAATCAAAATTGAGAAAATGTAAACTGTCCTTTCAGCCCCAGCTTTATAACTGATGATAGTGACTTACGTGAAAAATATTATATTTATCGTAATATATTTCAGAAAGTTGCTCATTCTGAGTTTGATTGTATAATTTTTTGATGGCAAGAAAAAAGGGAACGATTAGTTGCTTTGATGCTTATGCAAAAATAATTTTTCACAATGTAGTTCAATATCCCCTATATTAATAGTGGAAAGCAAAAGTGTCAATATGTTAAAGATTTACATTGAAATGTATGACTCACTAAGTCAAGACAACGAAATATTGGTCCTTGTGCTGAGCGCTGATATGGATGAATTCTTAGGAGATGTCACTCTGTTGTATGTAGGCTGGTTGCAAAAGATCCCAGTGATTGCACCACTGTGGAAGGATTCTCAGTGGTCACTGAGCAGCTCTCCCTGAGGGACCTATGCCTTTTTCAATCTCTGCGAGCCCTAGCCAGAATTGTAGCAGTGACCTAGAAGCCAAGGACTTTGCATTACATTTGCAACACCCTTCCCTTCTTTGTGCTCTATAACTTCCCCAGTAACTGGATAAGACAGTGCCTTTTGTCCAAGTTTAGCCACTTCCAGAAGGAATTAAAACAACAACAAAACCACAGAGGCCTTTATCCAACTTCACTGATTGTTTTTTATCGAGTAGCTGCTGAGTTTCTGGGCATTGGCTGTCTGCGTTATTTTTTTATCATCCATATGATACTTCTAGGTTTTCAAAGCTCTTTGTCCTCACTTATCAATTATTCATTTTATCTGTAGCTCTATTAGAATATAGACAATCTTCTTTCATGAGAGTAAGCTTGTAATTTGATGTACCGTAAAAGTTATAGAAGGTATTAAATGGTTTTTTAAAAAAGCATTTAGTGTTGCCATCAACGTAATCCATATAAAGACAGGTTTTGTGTCTAAATAACAATAACTGTGTACACTGTACTGTCCCTGTCTTAAGGGCTTTCAAGCCACAGACAGATGTTTGGATGGCTTGAGATGTAACAGAAATGTTTGTTGATGATAAACTAAAATGCAAATGTATTTTTTGTTTCTGTTTCATGATTTTAAAAATTATTTTTAAAAAATAAGATGACAGTGTTCAAACTTTCATGGGTGTACCTTTTTTTCTTCACCTACATTAATGGTGCCTCAGCTGCTATGTCAGAATAGTCATAGGCTGTTCATTAATCCCTGTAAGGGACCTTTAGAAGTCACCTGGAGTTCTGAAATCTGATGATTCTTAACTCTTAAACATTAACATTTTGTTAAATATGAAAAATCTTTCAGTGTTTTGTGAGAAAATCCTCCATGACAAGAAAATGCTGCATATCATTAAAACTTCACATTTATTAGATTTTTATTAATCACACAGCAGTTATATTTGAAAAATTGTTCTGCATTAGACACAGTATTTATTTAGCTATGGACCATGCTAGTTTTCTTGTAACGCCTTGGTAGTGCCTCAAGCTTTGAATCCTACAGGGACTAAACCTATTTCCCCCCACCCTTTTTTTTTTTTCAACATTTTTTCTTTCCTTTTTTTTTTTTTTTTTTTTTGTTTTTGTTTTTGAGACAGGGTTTTGCTCTGATGGCTGGGCTTGCTTGAACTCACTGTGTAGTCCAGACTGGCCTCAAACTCTTGGTGATCCTCCTGCTTCAGCCCCCTGAGGGCTGGGATTACTAGCATGTGCCTCTACCCAGCTACCCCTTTCTTTTATGTAACTTCTGTGTTCTATGCAGTCTCTTAACTTGAAGGCTAGCGCTCTTTTTATTGTGTTACTGTGTATCTTTTGTGAGGCATTAGAATTGAGCTCTTCTGAAATGTTGATCACTGCATTTCACAGTTGAACAAGCTGCAACTGTGTAGATGTAGTTAGATGTTGTTAGATGTGGTAACTCCTCAGAGACCAAGAGCTTGAGTAGTGTTTCCTAATGTTAAGACAGAAAGCCACTAGTTTTAGACAGAAAACCACTTACAGGTGACTTTAAGATTTCTTCAAAGGACAGTGCAGTGGACTAAATGTTTTATGTCTATCTCGATGACATATGTTGAAGCCCTAATCCTAGTGTTGTGATAGGTGGAGATAGAGCCTATAGAGAGTAGGCTGTGAAGATAGAGTCCTCACACGTGGAATTAGTGCTCTTATACCTGGGAGCCTGGAGAAGGCTTGCCCTTCACCATGTGAGGACCTAAGGAGAAGATGGTAGTTGGCAAACATGAACGAGTACCCTCACTAGAACTCGACCATACTGACATGCTAGTCTCAGCTTCCAGCCTCCACAACTGTGAAGAATAAATATTGGATTTTGTTACAGTAGCTCAGTAACTAAGCTAAGGAACTTGGAAATTATGTAAATTTGAGTTTACTAATTACACACAACTTGATTCTGTGTTATTAATCCTGTTAAGATAGAAGCCATTAGTCTTGATTGACACTTGGTGGAGAGGAGGGAAACACAGAGTACTTGTACCATAATAGGTAGACGGCTTTTCTGGGCTGTGTCTCTGGAGAGGCATTTTTAAAGGGTGTTTTTGTTCTTCCAACCTTAGGATCAAAACTTTATGAAACTATTTGATAGCGATGTAATATTAATATGGAAAATGAAAATTCCCCCTGCTAAGAATCAACTTTGATTTCATCTTCCTGAAAAATCCAAAAGACAATATAATGTCAGTAACGTTAATTGGCAAGAAGGCAGCATTGTTATGGTGAGAACCTTTTTCAGATGAATGACAGTTAAGAAACCAGGAAGCAGCAAATTTATCTAATTTGCCATTTAAAAAGACTGGAAATTTTTATTTTTATGAGGGATAGATTGCTAAACTCATGATGAATTTAGTTGACATTTTTACTTTCTCTTTGTGAAATACATTACAATGAAGCACATTTAATCAAAGTACTAGTTTTATAAAATGGAATTAAAATACTATTGATAATTCAGATATCATTCTTGGGCTTTTATGTAACCAGTTTTGCTGATATAGTTTACAGGTTGCAAAGTTGGAGTAGAATTAGTATCTTTCCATTTTTAAACCACAGGATTTTTTGTTTTTTGGTACCAGGGATTGAACTCACAACCTCTTGGCAGGCAGGTGCTTAAGCTGCTAAGTTAAATCCCCGGCAGCCACAGGAATTTTTTAATAATGCTTGCTGTATCTTCATGGTCTCTTCCCATCAGAAGATAGGTTTGTGATGCCTTCAGTATCACTTGTCATAATATTAGGGTTACTGTCTTGATGTCCTAGTGAGTGAGTGGTGGCTTTTATCTGAATCCAGTGGGCAACAATGGAGACATGAAACTTTTATCAGGGTCCATTTGTATTTCTGTATTTTTTTATTTTTATTTTGGTACTGGGGATCAAACTCACGACCTTGCGCCTGCCGGGTAGGTGCTTATGTCGCTGAACTAAATCCCCGGCCCTTCTTTCTGTATTTCTTGTATTTATATTGAGCAATACACTAAAATGAGTATGCTGGAAAGGAAAACTTGGAATTAATTAAGGCAAGAAGTCAATATGACAACTTTAAACACTTTTGCCAGTATGTAGCATTGCTTGTTTAAATTTTATATTTAAATTTAATCTTTACTTTTCTGACTTAGCGTATTGTTAAGCTTGCATAGATGTTATTTTACTTACTTAGCCATTTACCTATCCCCCTTGAACACTGAAGATAGGGCCCC